TCTTACCAAATGGAATAATCAGGCACTCTCGGCCCTGGAATTCTTTTCCTTTCTGCACGCAACCTTGAAGAATTTTGTTGAATAGAATCGGTTCTGTCAACATCTCTAGTAGAATTGCTTGGAGTAGCAATTCTGGCTCTTGTTCGGTATACCAAGTTCCGGTCGTACAAGAAATCACAGGAAATCTAGTCTTGAGATTCCCAAGCGCTTCTCGGACTTTTTTGTCTTTCAGATGTAAAATATGCTCTACATTCAAACTCGAACGAAGATGGGCAGCATGATAGGGACCGTATACAGGGATAGACACTGGCTTCGCTTGCAAAGCCTCCGATGCAAAAAGTGATCTCAAAGTGGAAGGAGGCCCACTTATCGCAATGCTTTTTGAGGTTGTTGCACTAATATATACTTGATTTACTATAGGTGTTTCCTTTGCAGAGTCAGTAAAAATCGGCAAAGTGAGAAAATTACAACGCACATTTTCTTTGTGAAAGTCGCTGAGTATCGAGTTCACTTCGCTCTCCTGGGCAGCGGGAACGACGTAAGTCCAGCTTTCTGGTAACTCTGGTCGGCTATCGAGTCTGTCGGCGAGGGCTGCGACATATGCACCCGTTCGAAATGACATCAACATCACTTGAATAGCGATGGGTATCAGTTGAGAGATCGATGGGGAAGAAGCAATTGCAGCGGCAGCAAAAAGTCCAGTGCACAAGCCAACAAGGCAGGTTTCACTAGGACTAGTCGAATCTCCATGTTCTTTCTCGTGGCGACTGATTAGATATATTAGTGACAGAACTGGCTCTATAGAGAGTTTATACTAACTCGATATATTGCGACAACTGAGCGATGCACAAAAGGGCACTGTCAATAGCAGGACTTTTGATAGTTCCTGCATGATATAACTTGTTTAGTTCGAGTATCGTGGAGAACTCTGGTATCCTATTTCGTTGGAGGCTTGGTAATCTATCGATCTCTTCCCTAAGGGCAGAGCCAGCCTGCTCGAGGAAAGATCTCGAAAGCACACTCGGTCTCCCATGTTGACAAAAGTCGGTCAAGAAAGTATGCGTGTCCAATGACTGGTCGCCAAAGACCAGGAAAGACATTTTGTCTCCCATATTCAGTATGATAGAAGAAGCTAAGTTGGTAGAAAAACCTTGAGAGAAACCCACTGGTATTTCATCAACTCTATATGCACAACTTGAAGTGGCCTGTATATATTGAATCTCCAAGAAGAAAGCTCAGCTCATCTCATCTGATTTGAAATCAATTTACGGAGTAACCTTTACCTTCAACCATGTTATGATGGCAAAACACTGTGGATCATTATCAGCTCATTGACTTCTGGTGTCTTTGTCCGGTCATCAATCTCAAAATAATATGACAAACAAGGGTTGAAAAGCTTTTTTAGAATGATGGAGGGTGCGGGTCGACTAAGAAACGTAGACCTTTTCTGAGAACTAACGCTGACAAGTCCATATCTTACAATATTCTCTTTTTGGTATCAACGTCTATTACCGGGTAGATAGTTTTAACGCCTATACGGATACGAAATGAGACGATTTGTCCCATTCCGCCGCACTAATTGTGATTAGCTATCCTGAAGAGATCGGACTGGTTCCAAAGGATCTCATTCGCCCGAGATTAGGTACCCAAAATACAAGAATAATTGACATTGGAGCTAGGTGGTACCTCGCATAAGCAACGTCCGTACTGACAGTACATAACACCACAGAATTGATTGTAACAAGTTCCGGTGCTACATTGTCCGGCGGACATCCCCACGCGGTCATGACTCTAACCTGGAGTTTGAGCGGCTCAGCCTACTAGCCGAGCGCATCCCAATGTTGGAGCAAGTTGCTTGAGAGTCAAATGTCTTAGACTCGACCAGCTAGACCACCATGAGATAAACACATTCATCGGGGGAGATATTCAAACGTGAGGGATATGCCTCCATGATCACGATTGTACTGTTGCGATTGCATTTGCAAAATACGAGTTGGTGTTGTGGGTGAGATTGTCCGACCGGAAAATGAACACGCTAGCGAAACGCGTTCTGCTATATATTTGTGACACGTGACCTCGTCGGGCCACTTCAATCCTTCCGCCAGACATACCCAATTGCATTTCGTTACTATAATCTCTTCTCCTTCTTTTTCGCTTCTCTCCATTCGCCTCTTCGACCTAAAAAAAATCCGAGATAATGTTATTCCAAAAACACGATGATCGAGCTGCGGACAGCGAAATTTTCGTGACGACATTGACTGACTGATTGCATGGCCTAGCTCGATTATTCCGGCTGGTGGGCTTACACATGAATGACTTCTCTGCTCTTCATATGTTATTCCATGTGAAGAATTTGTATCTTCTATTCTAGGCTGCATGCATATCCGAGCTGGAAGCTTGCATATTATTGACCTCAGCCGTACTACAGGTAGTTGTCAGACAATATCTTGTGCTATTTTCGCGCCTTGGTGTTATTTCGTAAGCTACTCTCCAGTAATGCACTCTGTTCTTGTTCCTATAACTTAACTTACATGCGATCCCTTTATAGAGTGTGAATATCGTTCCTGTGTTTATCTGCAATATCTCAAAGCAAAACTCATTTCAACAGACGTTGTTACAAGGCAAATCATCATTTTGACCTCGACAGACTTCGGGGCTCTTACAAATGAAGGCTCTAGATTTCACATTAATTTCCGGCATTCAAAATTCCAAAATATTCCTAGATCTGATACAGATGTACGCTTGCCTGTTTCAGACCAAGCATCTTTCATGTCCCTCGCAAAACGGGCTCGATGAAGGAAGTGTTACGAGTGCAATAGTTCTTGACAACATATCGTGCCGATAGTTATCGCGACTGATGCAGGCGTAGTGCATACTATCTTTGCTGTGTTTTACAAGATTCCAAAAATCTGCTTTCTTTTACTCCACTCCGGGTACGGCAGTGTCTTTCCCGAGAATCATCATCTTTTGTCACTTTTGAATGTTAGGAATAATAGTAGCTAATTTATCACCGCTACAAAAATATCTCCAACGACCTCAAGAGTTTGGACTTTGGAGAGGGCTAAATTTTGTAAGGGAAAACCAGCGCGAAAATTACGGAATGGATAATCGAGACCTCTGACCTTGATCCTGTCATTATTACTGTGAAAGGCAAACGAAAGCAATTGGAAATGAGTTACTCGAAAGTCTTGAGATTGTCATTCAATTCGGGACACATAAGAATTGAAGAATGAATCGATGACCCAATGATTCGTTTCTGTGTTCCACAAACATCCGGGTGTGCACTTGGTAGAAGATTAAACAACCAGTTCAAGACAAACGTTTATTTTCGGGAGAGGAAATGGGGGGTTGTTGAGCGCATATATTCGGAAATCTGCAATCTGAATCAGAATCTCTACCCTGGAAAGAGAAATAATACATTGATGACTCAATAGCGTATATGAACAACAATCACTGTTTGATTAGAAGTCAGACCATTGAACTTTTATGTTCTTGTCAAATCTTGGCACAATGCTCCAAAGCGTGAGCTAAGAATTCTCCACGACCGCTTTCATTCTATTTGAACAACTACAATTCAAATGTTTATGCCGATGATATTATTTACAACTAGACCGCTTTGGATGTGCAATCTAAGCTGTGGTACCATACGAGCTGTAACACTACACGAGGCCGTGATACTTACACACGACGATCACTTTACTTCATCAAAAGAACTCTGCCACAAGGTACTAGATGGCTTAGATGAAAGAGAACTACCACGGGGATGTTAATGAAAAGATACTCACCAAACAATACAATAAAAGAGCAACGTACTCTAACCAGCATTATTTAAAAATGAGTCGCCGCAAAAATTAAAACTGACTTTCTATATTGCCCAAAATATCCAATCTGTCCCAGTCAGTTCTCATTACCATGGCCATACATCATCTAATCCATCTCTGGATGCATAGAATCAACCTTGGCACCTCCAAACGATCCATCTCTTCCCTTAGCGCTATCACAGCAACATTCAAGCCGCCTACTGCAAATTTCGCGACAGAAAATTGGGCTTCGATTCAATACAAGCATTTAGCTCGCTTTTGATCCAATATTCATTGTCTTGAGCCAATTGCATGCTTTCAAACATGCTCAAAACATTCGAATGTCCAAATTGTGGCCGCGGTGACTTGCGACCTTGCACATGAGAGGTCAACCTCCTGTTTTCACTGTGATTTAGCTTGCTGATATACCTATGCACATGTTGTCCCTGCCATGCACTTAACAATTGGCTTTATGAAATCACAATCAGTACAAAAAATCATTGGCGAGACCATGATTTGTGAATTGCAGCAAGCGAATTCTTATGTAACATTATATTTGTAAGAGTTGTGCAACTTCGTTCCAGGTAGCGAAGAGTTCCAGGAGTGTGTGTTGTGTTAAAATCGCAGGAAAAAAGTAATTGAATTGAATTCAGTCAATGCCATCAAGTAGTTGCCTGAGAAGCAATAATCATCTGCATATTTCTGCGTCCAGTCGCACTAACTCAACATGATTGTTTCCAGAAGATCATTCGATGGCAGTCATGATAGCAATTACTCACTTTAAACCTCAGTCTCTATCTCATGTGTTGCAAGAACTGAAAAAGGGCACGGCACTCCTGCTATCATTGAACCTTCTTTGAATTTCGACATTCCGGGTTCTTTCCGAGTTTGCTAGAAGAACATCAAGTAATGAGAAAGCCAGTAGTGTTGCTGGATAGGTTTCACCTTAATATGGTAGGAACGTCGCATCTCTTTGGAAATTAATCTGTTGTGCATATCTAGGACTATCTAGTACAAACACAAGCAGAATTATTTTAGATGTTGGGGCTTTGCATTGGTCACACAGTGATTGCCATCAGTAATCCTCCAGACCAAGAATTAAGCAGATTAATCGTTGTATGTATACTGCCACAATATATACAGAGGTAGTTTTGCAAATGTGGGCCATCGCAATTCATGCCAGTTTCAAATCTTGATTGTTCAGAGAGGGCCATTAGGATGAATTAGAACTTTGGTATATCCATCCTCCCTTCTATCAAATTTGGTATATGCGTTCGGTGCCTCATCGATACCAATTTCATGCGAAACGACGAATGAAGGCTTTGCGACGCCTGAAATAATCATATCTCGCAAATAACGATTGTAGGCTTTGACATTACATTGTCCAGTGCCAATGGAAAGACCCTGAAATGTCAGTAACACTCATCTGCATTGGTACTTGTAGTAATACTATCACCGAACTCACCTTCTCGAACAACTTCCCAAAACTTATCAATAACATTCCTTGACCAGCATTGCTATCTGGAGCACCAGGGTCGCTTGGGACATATAATCCAGGAACACCAATACCACCGGTTGGTCTCGTCACCTTGATGCAATTCTCCAAAACAATACTTGGTACTTCTTTCTTGCCATCCTGTGCAGAAGCCTGGTACCCGACAGCGTCCACGCTCCTATCAACCATCTGACCATTCTGCTTTATGATTTCCTCGACAGCGTCACATTTCGTGAAATTCACAGCGATACAACCAATTTTCTCCGCAGCTTGTAGACGTTCTTTCACGCTATCCACGACGAATATTTTGCTTGCTCCTCTGAGCTTTGCGCTATATGCAGCCATCAAACCAACAGGTCCGGCTCCGAAAACGGCGATTGATTCTCCTGGCTGAAAGCCAGAAAGTACAACGCCATGCCACCCCGTTGGGAATATGTCGGCAAGGAGAATAAAATCCGCTTCGTGTTCTTTTCCAGCAGGAAGAGGAAGGCAGTTGAATTCGGCATATGGTACACGGATATATTGTGCTTGACCTCCTTGGTAAGGTCCCATTGCGACATATCCATAAGCCCCGCCTGCGAATCCGCTTAACTGAATTAATGAAGTGTAAACAGGAAGCTCAAGCTTAGATGAGACCTACGGATTAACACCTGTACAAAAAGCTGTTTTGCCCTCTTCACAATTCCTACATCTGCCATCTGCCACATTGAATGGCATCACCACACGATCCCCTTTCTTGATATGCTGAACACCAGAACCAGTCTCGATCACTATTCCCATATTCTCATGTCCAAAACATAATCCACCTTCCGCAGCCGTTCTTCCCTGATACATATGCAAATCACTTCCGCAGATTGCGGCTGTTGTCACCTTAACCAGTGCATCATCCGGATGTTCGATCTTTGGCAGTGGGCGTTCTTCGACAGTTACTTTGAAGGGCTCTGCATAATATAAATGTCAATCATTCGGTCTTTAAGAGAGTACTTGGATAGGATTAAGGATCATACCTTGGTATATAACCGCTTTCATTGTTTGCGTTTGAGACATCTTGAAGGCTACTTCTATGCAAAACCTACGTCTTTAAGGTGAACGTTGATTTCTACTTAGAATTGCCTAGTATATATATCATTCAAGTATGATGGCATCGTCTTCCCCGCGTTCCAACTATAGTATGGATGTTTCCAGGCTCGGACATTCATTCGTTCATGAACCATGAAAGTAACACACCAACCCAACCCCGCACCCAACCATTGGTTGCTGTTACATGGCGTATTTGTAGAAGACTTTGTGCATACTCATTCGTATATCTCTTGCGCATCGGCAGTTGGACTCGAAGAGTCTTTGCGGCCAAAACAAGCATCTCTACGACGTAATGATAGAAAGCCAATTGAGTTACGGACTATAAGATTTGTAATTGTGAGATGTGAGCTAGTGTTAACATCGTTAAGCCTCAGGTATAGTAATTGGTCAGATTCATACAGAAATAAACTTCAGATTTATTGTGTGGAACTGAATTTCGTTGCTAAACCTATGAGAACGCGATGTCCTTGGGGATAGTGTGAGTAGACGTTCTGATTGAATTTGAATGGATGTGGTATTTATATTGCCGCGTCTCACCGCTTTGGTGAGTATGTAGCTCCTTTTTGAGCGACAAAGTTTGCTGGCTCGAATGAATATTCGCAATGCAGTGTTGTTGCGGGAGTGGTTGGTAAATGCATTCGATATGAAGTCATATTGGCTTCATCTACGAATCTTGAAATCTTCGTCAAGCTCGAATGTGAGTCCGCGATTCTGAAGCTCCACTGACGCTCATACCAATTGTTGCGGAGCAAAGCATAGAATGGATCCAATTTTGAGCCTACAGCAAAACCTCTCCGTGAGGATACCGGTTTTTTGAGTTAATTCCGATCGGGTCGCATTTCTAAGATATTTTCTACTTTGATAAAGATACGCATAATCCTAGGATCTCAAAATATAAGGATATCCTTATAAAAAAGGGTTTAAGGATACATATCACGTCTAAACCTAAAATCTTTCGGAACCCAGAAATATATCCTTATAAACTGGATCCTTATGGAGAGGTTCTGCTGCATCATAATTAAGTTTATTGCCAAATTATCAATCAAGCTCATTAAGTCCGATAAGTTGATTTATGAGAGATCCCGAGCTTCCAAAGAAAGACCTCGGTCTTTGAAATGCTAAATTGAGTGCTTTGAACTTCAACTATTTCTTTAACGTTTCCTGTATTTACCTTCTTCAACTCTCTAAGAGCCTCATATCCGAATAAATATTGACATATACATAATGGCACCAGTTCACTGCTTAGCAACTGTTACTCCCGCACCGGGAAAGGAGGCTCGTGTATGTGCCTCAATATTCTCCTTACACTAATACCAACCCGAGCTAACATACCTTTTCCAGCTCCGAGAAATCATCACCGACCTCGCAAACCAAGTCGAGAAGAACGAGCAGGCAGTTCGTAAGTACCAAGCATTCGAGCAATATGATGGTGAAAAAGGAAATGTCTTCGTTCTCCAAGAAATCTGTATGTTCCTCTCGTCCCACTATCGTCCGCTTGCCCATCTTCAGCCATGAAAGTATAAATGGCACATGTAGAATTACAGATACTAACAACAACTAGATGAAGATGAAGCCGCATTAGCTGCTCATATGGGTACATCCTACTTCATTGAACTCGGAAAGCTTTTGTCTGAGGAGAAACTCTTGGGTGCACCACTCGACATCAAAAAGATTCAGCCATTTGCTGGATTCGCTAGTCGCTAAACGTGGGACCTCGAATTATTGTATAAAAGCCCCAATTCAACAAATAATGTATACCATATCATACGTCTGAATTTATGTCTACCTCTACATCTATCTAAATTTGTCCATCCATCTTTATCTCTGCCTCTGTCCATCTAGTTCTTCAATCCCGTTCCAATTCCGATCAAACAAAAGCAGTTTTAGGAGCAAATCTGCCTCCAATCACAGGAGAATTCTCAGTCAACACATCCCAATCATGAGCATCCAGTGCAGCTTGTCTACTCTTCAAGACTGCCTCGTGGGTTCTTGGCCTCATCTCTGCTTCGTATGCATCAATTGCTTCTTTTTGTGTGATTTCCCCAGCTTTGACCTTTTTCAATTGATCAACTAAAAGAGCTGCGTCTAGGATGCCGTGGTTGGCCCCTTCGCCTCGATACCTATTTATCATGTTAATTCCTACCGATTCCCGTGCACCCATTTCCCCTTGAATTTTGTAATCATACGATGGCAAGAGCGAGATTAAGAGATCAAGAAATCTTAAGAAACTCACATAGTCATAGCATGCGCCGCATCCCCCACCAATGTAACCTTTCCACCCCAATTATCCCATTCCTTCGTCGGAAAGTCACTCAACCTCAACGGAGTCGTCGTTATGTCCTCCGGAATACCCGTGACAATACTCCTCAATGGTTCTGCAAACCCTTCCGTCCTCTTCTTCATATACACCACTCTCTCAGCATCAGTCTTCGGCATGGCATCCGCAACCTCATCTTTGATTAACCAAGAAAAAACTATGAGTCCTTTGTAGCTCTTACTTCCATCGTCCTTGGGAACTATCTCTTGTAAACTAAACCACATGTAACTTCCAGTTTCCGGGTCTAACCCTTGGAACAACAATGGATCGATAGCTCTTACAGACGAAATTTGTTCTTCCGTAAAAGGCCTCACGACTCCAATACAATAAACAGGCAATTTCGTCAAATTGGCCTCCTCGGATCCATTAAACAAGCATTTTCGCATCACACTATTGTTTCCATCAGCACCCACAACCAAGGTGGCATTGCTTGTTGTCCCGTCCGAAAATTGCGCAGTCACGAGATCAGAATCTGAGGCAGGGGCAATTGATGTAAGACCTTTTCCTTCATGAATATTGAGATCGGTGGCGAGTACATTGCGGATCTTTTGTCGATCTAAACGACGACGGAGTTTGCTTGGTGGGATTTTGTAGCGCGGTGAGGCTGTACGGGCGTTGAGGAATAAAAAATTTCCATCGTCGTCGTTGAGGTTTGGATCAACGGCTGCCTGTTGTGTTTAGACATATTAGTTGTTGGATCATTTTATGTCGGCAATTTGTTAGCACGTGGCTCCCTTGAGATGGTTGCATCTTGTGGCTTCCGACTCATCACCGAGATTCACACGATCTCTAAATTTCGTGCTAGAAAACTCTTACCGTAGGTATCAACTCGGATAATTTCTCCCCAATCGTTCTTTCCAAGCTTCTCAAGCACCACTATATTATCGTCTGGTTAGCAAGCTGTCCCTTCCCACCCTTCCCACCGTCTTGCCAGCTCCCCACCCGTGGTTTGAAGCACCACTCATCAATCAATGGTCTCATCAAGGGTCCCATCAACATCACCACCATCGCCAACTCCTCCACTGCCAACCCCCTCTTCTCCTCAAACTCACATGCAAAGTAATAGCCCAGCCTTGCGCTCTCTTCCCATGCTCATCCTTCTCTACAATCTCAAATTCAATCCCATTCTCCCTACACCCTTGAGCCAATGTCAATCCCACAATTCCTCCTCCTACTATTAGGACCTTCAAATTCGATTTCGCTATTTCTCTACCGTTTTATTAGTACCAGCTGTTCAGATCTGAGAAGAGATACACACGAAGGCATTTTCACCCTAATTCTTTGTCCCTATTCCTTGAATTTCTGAAATCAAGGCAGAATGAAATCTTCGAAATCACAAGAGATAACACCATTGGAGTGGGAAAACCATCAGGGAAAACTCAAATATACGATGTCTAGGTAAGCTGCCCCTCAATAACGGATATCCGGCCCAAAAAGGCGTTATACGCGCTGGCGCATCAGCACCAATGAGAGGTGCAGATGACCCTGTCGTTTGAACATGGTGTGTAAAAATAAAGAATAGTATAGATGGCAAGATGCACATAGCAATTTTCCCCACACCGTTTAAGAATGACAATTCGCTAAGACAAATGTGGGAGGTAAGTATGGTGAGTATCCTATTGCGCATAGTGAATGTAATGAATGGCGCGATGTGCAACAGGGAGAATATACATGATATCTCATAGCTATAACTATACAATTACACTCACTCTACACTCTACACTCCAATCTCATCGTGTCAATTTTCTCAATTCCTTCAATTCCCGTTTCGCGTTTTTGCTTCTCAATCTCGCGTCAAAAGAGGTCAAAAACACAATACCCACCTTCATCTACCTATTCCTACCCAATTCAAGAATCCTTTACGAAATTTAAACGGCACTTCAAGATTTCTCAAGATTCATATCGATCGTAAGAATCTTAAGCATCTGACTCATCAAATGGCTATCTGTCACCATAACAGAATAATCTTCAAAATCGATCGTAACGAAAAAAAGTGGCCGGCGTAGTTAAGTAAACCCAATTGCACACCATGGCATACCACACAAGAATAACCAGTCCATACTTTCCAAACGCCCTCAACAGCACAAGGCAAGAACGAAGCATCTGGAAGAAACAAGAAGATGGATTTTCGAAACATCTTTAATCCAAACCAAAACATTCCATACAACAAAGACATCAATAAACCCCACCAAACTATCAAATACCCCTTATTCTTACCTCACCATATAATTTACTACCAACAAGCATCCGATAACAAACCTTCAGCATGCCTCCTCTTCCTCCCCCGAAAAAGTCTCCCTTCCCGCTATTTTCCAACAAGATGTCCTATCACGAAAACCCATTTTTCGAAGCGACTCTCCACGAAACACACCCCTATGTCCCCTATGCTCCTGCTCGACCACAAAAACAATATCTAGCGATTCCTGCTGTTCCATCTGGTGCACCAATGCAACCTATCAGCTCACATCTATCAGAGCCTCCTTTGCTCCTGATTCTTTTTGTATGTGTTTTGGTTGCTGGCTATGCGTACCGGATGTTTGCGCGCAATTCTTGTGGCTGTGGGGCGCACAAGACGAGATATAGTACCGAGAAGGCGGCTACATGTGGAAAAGACCATTGAGGTTCTAACTTGGGTTTAATGAGGGAGGCTGTGATGAATGTATTTATTCCTTGCTTGGATGAAAAGAATTTCGTTGTGGTTAGGAAATTCTTTACTGAATGGGAGACAAGGAAACTGTTGGAGAGCCGGACTTGGATTTGGAGATGGAGCATCATAGAGGAGTTCCAGCGCCGGGCATAAAGCAGTTATTTTGGGCTTGTTCAGATTTTGGAAATAGGGCATCAAAGAAGATTATCAGCGAGAACATGTTTGCGACTACGCAACCTAGCGACAATGTGGACAGAGAGGACTAATGTTATAACTTTTGAATGCATTTTAACGTGGACTTAAACTTTGCAACTTGCGAGGGGTAGTGATAATTGCTATGCCCTAACTTCCTTTTCCTGGTTGATGGCCAGTCCCATGTCACAAAGCCTCCTATGAGAAATGTTGCTCTCAAACACGGTTCTCGCAGAAGGCGCGCACAAGACGTACGCGAAAGAACAAATATCAGGTGGCAATGCTCCTACCTTGGAAAGAAAAAAGAAAGACCCGATCTAGACTTACTGTAATTCCTGGTCATAACCTACACTATGCCCTTGACATGCCTGCCGCAAACAAAACTTACCTCTTTTCCCTTCTTCGGGCCATTAACCCATCCTTCTTCATCCCAGATCAAGGTTGTAGTCCGAGTCTTCCCCAAATCCCTTCTCCGACCCGGAACCCGATATACAAACAACAATTTCCCCACGCCGCAGATCATTATCGTATCACAACATCCCAAGTCGCACATCGTACATGGCACCATATGCAACGTCCGTCCGACATCCCCAAACTACTCACCGAGCAAATTTCCACCGCATTATGAACTCTGACTAACCCAAATCTCCCATGCAAACCTCCGCATATATCGAATGCAATGTAATATGATTGTACAGGTAACAAGCGGCAGAACCAATTCGATGGGCATTGCATATTGAACTTTCGATGAACGTTCCATTTTCAATGCGAAGTTCGCATCGTATTCCCGTATAAACTAGACATCTCGTGCTAGTGCCGTGGTGACCGAAGGATAAAGTATATTCGTATCCGTATAAGTGAATTGCGATTATCTCGTTGTCGGAAGTGGAGACGCTAGAATTGGTGCTCTAGTCCTGCTATGCAATTGCAGCTTCTCGTAATGATGAGCTTACCATTCTATACACAGCTCGAATGATCATTCAATTCCTACATTCCGGGGTGTACATAAACCACATGTGTCACATCCAAAGTCGTGTCGCTCCTTCCCATTTTTACCGCAGTCGGACTTCCAAGTATGTCTGGCTGGTATCACACGAAGGGCGGAGTCGAGCTCATGTCCGTTGTTCGTGTCCGTTGTTCGTACATAGCTTTTCCAGATGTCCTTCTTTGCTTATGTGTGTTGAAGATATGTATGTGTAGAACAGCGCCCGGTCGCTGCAATTCCCGAGATGACAATGATATGGGTGAGTTGTATGTTATGCAAATGGTAGAACGATTGTTTACTCGTAGGCGCTGGTGGCCGCTCTCTACTTTCTTGTCTGGTGTATACTGACATCGTAAAAGCGAAGCACGGAAGTGAAGGGAGTGATACGTGCTCTATAGTCGAATCGAATCTAATAGTGTTTAATCTGAGGTTAACAGGCCCAAATAGCAAGCAAATAGTAAATGTATTCCATGAAGCGGTACTTAGTATAGGTAGATTATCATGCTTGGATGCATTAGTATACTGCAGAGATATTGAGAGCAGCCATAGACTCCAACGCACTCTCGCAGATACTTGTCACTCGAGGCAAGAGTTTAAAGGTAGAATTTTCGAAGAAATTAGTTCCTCGCCGCGTTGCGAGAATACTGATCTTATCCGGAAACTTCCGTAGGCTATTCACGCCCATAGCTACAGGGTCTCACGACTCTTTTACCGAACTCCATCAATACCAGGAATAGAGCTTCGATGTTCACTGTTTTGTTTCTCTTTTTCGATTGTGCAGCTGTTCAGAGAAAATAACTTTGAAATCATTACCAAGAAGAATGCTGTTTCCAGGTATGCAATGAAGCTTTCGGTGTGAAGACCTCGGGAAGTAAGGTTTGGCCAATTCTAAGTTTGTAGTTTGATAGGAGCCAGGTGTCTCTCACTATGAGCAGATCACATCACATCATATCATACCTCTGTTCTCTCTCACCTAATTGAATCAGAATGATACTTGTCAAGCAAATATGTTTATAGGCATGCAACAAAGTTCGAAGAGTGGCATTGATTGGTTATATATCACGTGAATTATAAGTCAATAAGATGTCATACTACTCATAACCAAGACATACTGACTTTTGACAAGACTAAACTCAATCAAGGCCCCATAAAAGCTTCATCATTCAGCATAAACTCTATTTTCCCGTATGTTTAAGAATCAAAATCTTTCAATTCACAAGAGTGATGCCCAAAAAATGAGTTTAGAACGTAGCGGCAACTCTGCTGTCTGTCTAACTCTGGAACATTCAAAGTTCGAAACTTAAACTCATCATTCCAAGTCCAGAGAGAGAACTCTCCATCAAGTAGTCAAGTTAAGAAATCCAAGAAAAACTTCTGAACTACAATATTGTGGAATATCTAGGTATTGAGAGTAAAGTATGAATGTAGTGCGAATGACTGTGATGGCTTATTGAAGAGACGACCTTGCCCAGCGAAGTAATCATTTCCCCTTCATGATCATCAAACTTCTCAACCTTCCCCTCCGGAGGTTCAGGAAAAGAAAGTTTTTGCGTTGCCAGCTAGATTAGACAGTAATCAAATTGATGATCTTAGCAAGTCATCAGTTTAGAGCGTCAGATCTGACTCCAGCGAGTCAGGATCTCCATGTCCAAATCGGAGCCGGTAACGTCGTCAGGCAAGGTGACCTCCCAAAATCTGGATAAGATGAGAGATATAAGTTTCACTTGCAATTCCTTTATTTTTCAGATATGCAAGAAAACTTTTGACTATGAGATCTGATTGGCTGGCTGGAATTTGCCAGAAGGACAGGGAATTTAAACGAGAGAGATATTTTAAGGCATGTGAGTGACTCCTTTACATCCAAGTTTCAGTGCCATATGAGAATATAATCGAGGGCTTCCGCCATGTTCAAGTCAAGTGAGGAGGCGAAGCACTTTTCACATTGCAAAAGTTGAGATCTGAAGTAGATTGGAAGGGTATAAAGGCTTTTATGACCTAGGGTTTTATTCTTGTAACTTCCTAGAGAATCATCACAGTATACCTAGACAGCTCGCAGCCGAGCATTACATGGGTCCCTAGTTTCGAAAGACTATCGTGCCATCCCATCGCACCGTAAAGCAATATCATATCTAATCTTGAATTTTTCCCGAACAAGCAATCCTGATTTAGCTCATCCTCCATCTCCCAAAGTCTTTTTTTAACGTGATTGTTGCCTCTATCTCTATGATTGCTCAAATCAACATGCAGCAGGATTTCAAGTGTACAACAACTATACATATTAGTACATCATGTTTCACCTCTCCAGTCCAATGAAGATCTACCAAGTTAGAGTAAGGAATTCAGTTTTTCTACCTAATCATCTAAATTATCTCCATATATTAAAGTTTCATCTCATCTTCCGAAGTCATTCCCATTCATCATAACGCCCTCATCAATACAATTCCCATAACAATCATTTCAAAAACAAAGCTGCTTCGTAACTGTTGTTAGAAAAGCTCCAGATACAATGCTCATAACCGTCAAATCATTGGAGGAATTCCAGAAGGAGGAGTTCAAATACCTCCTTCTACCTCCGTCCGATCTCGGTTCTGACCATCTCATCTGCACCTCCTAACAAAAGAAATTAACAACTTTCTCCTTGAAAGTCATATGCTCCTCCGCTTCCCAATCAATGGCCCCCTCATCCTCGAGTCCCAGACAACCGGTATCCAAATCCGCCTCCAAACTTCCTACAATTCTAGTCTTACAAATAATCTTATGCCCAAAATAAGCAATCGCGAACAATATCAAACTGATATACGCCACAAAGAACTCTCTGACCTGAAATCCAGGAATAAAAGCTGTGAATCCTTGGGTGAAAATAATCAATACCGTAAATACTAATCCATACCACGCAAACCACGGTTGCCACATGGATTTATAAGGTAAACGATCGCGACTGATACCTCGGGCTGCAAGTGCCTTCATGAAAGCAATATGACATCCGGAAATGCAAGCCCAACTGATAAATCCAGCGACAGCAGAAATATTTTGGATCCAAACAAATGCGTCACTGCCTCCGGAACTCTCATTCAGGAAAGCCAGAAGACCGAAAATAGAGGTAAATGCGACGGCGAAGTAGGGAACTCCACCCCTAGTTGTCTTCAAGAAACATTTGGGGGCGCAATTTCCTTCCGCAAGGCCAACCAGGATACGGGAACCGGAATAGACGTTAGAGTTCGCGGCGCTGAGAACGACGAAGAGGAGCACGGCGTTGATGAGCCCGGGAAGTGTCTTAACACCAGCTAGTTTGGCGGCAATAACGAAAGGACTGGCGGATGCATCTGAGCCCCCAGATAATAAATCTGGGTTATCGTATGGAATCAAGAGACCGATGAAGAAAACTGTTCCGACGAAGAAAAAGAGAATTCGGAAAAATGTCTTGCGAATAGCGGCTGGGACGTTCTTCCTGGGATTTTCGGTTTCTCCAGCTGCGATTCCGACCAGTTCGGTTCCTTGGTAAGAAAATCCGGCTTGGATAAGTACAGCCCAGAATCCGACGAATTTGGAAACGGGATTCTCGGGATTGATGAGATAAGGCGCAAATGCACCTGGATTGCCCCAGTTGTGGAATCCGAGATAGCCTTGTTGACCTGCTCCGGCATCGATGCAGATACCAAAGATGAGGAAACCGAGCACGGTGATAACCTTGATGAGTGAAAACCAAAATTCGATTTCGCCGAAAAAGCTGACAGGGAGAAAATTGACGCCAGAGATGACGACAAAGAAGACAGAGATAAAGATGCCGACATTGAGTTGGGGCGCCCAGTATTGGATAATGAGACCTGTGGCTGTGAGTTCAAGAGCGTAGGTGGTTGCCCAGGAAAACCAATAGATCCATCCCATGGCAAATCCAAGCGAAGGATCGATGAATCGTGCTGCGTAGAGAGTGAAGGCTCCGGGAATGGGAATGAAGGTTGCCATTTCTCCCAAGGACATCATGACGCTGTATATGAGGGTGCCGACAAATGCATATGCGATGAGAGCACCTGCTGGACCGGATTCAGCAATGGCGGATCCGGATCCTATGAAGAGACCTGTGCCGATTGTTCCACCTGGTATACATTATTAGTATCTTTATTCTATTCCAATACCCTTCATCAACCATCTTGTGATGAGTGAAGATGGAAATATGTGATAGTCCATAGAAGTAACGCACCAATAGCGATCATCTGTAAATGTCTACTCTTTAGCTTCCTCTGCAACTCCGGCCCACTGCCCACCTGGATACCCTTCTCTGGATCCTGCGACGAATGACCCGAAGCCGAATCTTTTTTGTCATCTCCCGCGGCCTTATTTATTGCCTGAATTGAGTCCATCTCCATATGTGGAGCCATGTTGACAGAAAATGCGCGTGCGCAACTTTTTCGAGGTTTCCAAACGTAATATCTTCCTTCAACTTCCAAGCTGCGTTGTCCTTCTCTCACCGAGATCCCTTCCTGCAGCTACTGCTGTATGTAACGTCTCGAAACCGGGCCTGGGACGCAGTGCAAAGACTCAACAGTGAAAGACTGAAACTGAAAACCTCGACGATTTCAAACTACGTCGAAAGGCTACAGTAACAGACAGTTCCGTGAAACTCTTCACTCCTGTCCTATCCCGCAAGTATTCACCACAATGCACTTCCAATCACTGACTCCAAAGGTCCTAGATAATAGAGGTCAATTCTCACGCAAATGTACAACAAATTTCAAAAATATTAACAAGAAAGAGTGCATGCATGAAATCAAGAGAAGAAAACGGTTGACATAAGAAGGGAAGAGTCATCCATATAGCAAATTCTAGTCTGTCAAAGAAATTTGTGCGAGCTAGCGTCATGTCCTAGCATCTGGCCCCAATATCTCCATCAAGATTGAATAATCCATCTGGGAAGATAAGTCCTGCCCTTCTGACTGGTAGCCTTTTAACCCCAACATAATACTACTCTGTCAAACGACTCAGACCGACTGACCCCGAGAAATCCAATTCTATTGATAATCTGATTTTAAAGAGGGCCAATACTTGGCCTGTGAGCTGATGTATAAATTTCAAAATCGAGTATGCGCATCACCTTGCTGAAAATGAAAATTTTTGCAGCCGCTTACCGAGGAGACTTAGCCAAATTGAGTTAGCATGTTGGCGAACTTCATGAAAAGTCAACGAGTTAACTTTTTTCGACATGCAAAACTGGCTGATTTCCTTGTATCTTATGGTTTAAAGTTACCAAACACGAGCAAACTACAACGTATCTATACTCTTATTCGAGTATCAATTCTAAGAGCAGAATAGTTACCACTTACTTTGATATAAACGTCTAAACTCTTCAAGACAATGACAACATCGGCAAACGAAGCCGTGTGCCAAGTCAGGGTCCATCTAAACATTTTCCGACCACCGCTTCCGATAAATCTCACATCATGTTTTTTTACATGCTAGAAAGGATGCAGTTCCAAGTGCATGTAAATTATAATAAACCCGTTGGATTAACAAGGGAATGAAGCACACGATAATCCTATGCCTTTAATATCCGATACTGTGCGTCGATCAAATAATCTGATATGTATCACGGTTTGCATAAATCATAAAGTGGGCTAAGATTTTCGTCTTAACGCTTTTTCACCTAGAGCCTCTGCAAATTTTAATAGTGGGGTTTCAACTGTCGAAAAAGTAATTCTAAAATATGTCTGCCGGTGAGCGGCGTATCCCCTAGTGTATGGCAATGGCAATTATAGATTTGCTGTACAGCTTCAAGGATCGAGACATCTGCTGCAAGATTTTGCTAAACATTAGCACGAGGCTTCTCAAACCGAGGGATTTTGAAGCATCAAAATACAGCCTATCCTAAACAAAAACTCGTAGTCTTAAATAGATCCTTGAACGTCCAGACGATCTTGATGCAGAAAAGTTGAATTCATTGCCGCCATCATGTTCCTGTCACCTCCATCAATCATCTAAACTAATTCATCTCTCACCCCTTTCTTCTCTTACTTCTTGTTCCTTCCCTCCCAATTTCTTTCTCCCTTTCCCCAATTTGCCAGACTACTCGTAGCAATTCCCGGTAATCACATCCGTCATCAACCTAAGTAGCAATTTGCCATCATCTTTACCTACAGTATCGTCCCTAGATCCCCGTCATTCATCGCCTATACATTACCTGCACAAGATCCAGTCTCTTCCCCAAAACTTAATGCACATAAGTCGTACCTCTTGCTCCACTTCCCATCCACTACTCTTTCCCACTACACCATGCCTACTCTATAATTCCCAGCACACATGCAAATCCAACCTCACACCCCAATCAAAAACAGACTCATAACATCACAGCCAAACCCACACCTTGACTCAATCTCTCAATCCCCGACAAAAGTGGGTTTACGAGCGGAAATCATTAATCAATCGACCCTTAAAATCCCCAGTTTATTTTCGGAACAATGTTCTTGCTCAGGAAAAATTATTGTTCATTTGACCTTTTCTCACCAAGAACCGTTGGTTTCGAGTGGAACGTTATTTGAATTGCTTTTGATCAAGGTGCAGTTCAACGCGACCGACAAGCAAAGCAATGCGGGTAAGCTGACAGTAACGACCGTTGTTGAGAGAACTCAGAAAATTTGCTTAGCTCTTGAGAGCATTGATGAAGGGGCAAAAAATCAGACCTCGGCTAATGTTATCACATCGGCAGCTGTTTATCTTCACGTGACCTTCCTCATTTACGTCAAAGTCAAGATCCGTCAGATCAGATCAAGATGTATCTTTTCCGCCAAAAACGGAGCCTCGGTGCGCTTGGGGTTGTTTTTGCAGACGTTTTTTCTTGTATTTGTAATTTAGTTCTTTTAAAGGCGCAGTAGCTTTTAGAAGGCGCAATAGGTATGTGTCGCAATGGGAAATGAAATGGTATCTTAGTAAAAAAAATCCTCCTGCACCGCACATCAACATCAAGTCGCAATGGCTTTTTTGTTATCCCTTTTCCCCTTGATCAAAAAAGTCGCAATGGCAGACACGTCGCATCGGAATCGCATCAAATCATCAATCATGATCTCTAGAAATATAATCATAACCCAAACCTCAGGTTTATGACTTATGGGTCTCCACCTTCTCCTGTCTCGAGTCGCGGTCCAACGAATTTCGTAGGGAGTCTTCGTCGGCGGCCTCGATGACAGGACCGGTGTAGAACTTCTTGCCAGAAACATACCAGTAGATGGTAGAGAAGCCTAGGATCAATCCTAAGAAGGCGATAGCGTAGTTCATGTTGAGGGCAGTCACTGGTCGTTCGGTCGGGAGAATGAAGATGATACTGACAAAAAGAGTCCAGATACAGGCCCATGCGTTGACGGCAGTACTGAATTTACCCATATGCCATGGACCTGGCTCGAATTTGCCAAAGAGAAGTTTGCACGCAATTGGAATACAATAACTCCAATCTAAAGCAATGGCGCAAACATTGAAGACTCCAGAAATAGCAGTGTAGGATCCAAGACCGATAAGGTTGATAGCAATGCAGAGGACGACAGAAATCCAGACGGCTGCAATGGGCGTTCCAGTGATGGGTAAGATCTTTGTCCAGACTTTGGAAAATGGTACAAGCTTATCACGGGAGAAAGCAAAAACAGTTCGGGCCAATGATTGCTAGATTGATTGTCAGCCCATTTTTGCCAAAGGTAAAGGGGATTCATAACGTACCATAGCAGTAAAGCAAACAAATTCAAGAATGATGAATCCACAAACGGTGTAGAAGATACCACCTGCCTTTCCTAGACTGTTGTAGAAAAGCTGAGCGACTGGCTGACCAATACTTGTGCCAAGGATTTCGGCCGGGTCACCCATGCAGAAACAAAGTACAATGTTGAAAAGAAATCCAGCAACATAGGTGAAAAGCATAGCCATAGAGATAGCCCAAGGTGCTTTTTTCTCTGGTTCGGAAATTCTAATAGATTGATTAGCCCAAATGATCCAAGAAGGGTTTAGATTACTTACTCTTCAGTGATATGAGCGGTAGCATCGTAATCGGTCATGGTCCAGGAGACGGAGAGGAACCCGAAGAGAAAACTCCATCCGACAGGGGTCCAACCGGAGGTTGAATCAACATTGGTAAAAACATAGGTGGCATCATGTTTGTTCGGGGTTTTGACCAAAAGAGCGATACAGCACGATACCAAAACGAGAACGTGGAAGATAACATAGCTCTTTGTCATCTTTTCCATCCAATAGGTAGATAATGAGTTAACCAATCCAGTAAGCACCATCAAACCGGCCATTACACCGACCGTTGTATTTGCGTTAATCGTATAGTCGAAATCTTTGCCAATGGAGACAGCCGCTAACAGCATTTGAGATGCACCGTATTGGGAGGAGGCAACACCAGCAACCTGTCCGAGAAGATTCAACCAACCAGTAACCCAACTAATAGATGGTACCCAGTCTGTTGGTGTGAGTCGTGAAATTGCAAAGTATAGACCGCCGGAAGTAGGATATGCAGAGACCAGCTCAGCGACAGAAAGCTAATATCAAATGAGCAAGATGTTAATCAGAAAATGTGGTTGCCATTGAACTTACAGCAATACACATGCAACCAGCACCAGAAATTGCCCAACACCATACTGCTGCGGCAGATCCACCAGACATAATTGGGTAGGAGAAAGTGGTCATGGTAGTAGCAAACAATCCACTGATAGAGACGGCGAAGGAGAAAGTCGAGAGATATCCGAATTCTCTCTTGAATACAGGTTTGTATCCAAATTGAGCAGCGAGTTGCGCATCAGCATCGGGACCTTCCTCCATACCGACGACGTTTCTTCTATGTAAATCTCCTTGGTTGGCATTCTGTTCGAACACTCCACCAGAAGAAGTGCCTTTGTAGTCCGCCATAGTGACCTTTGTAATCTATCGTAATTATGTTTGAATATTTCAATGTCTATCAAACCAGGTTCGGACCAATTGAGATAATGAGTGAATACCGAAATCTGGAGGAAAGTCAAAAAAAGGAGGGGAAACTCTCCAGATATATAAAGATTAGAAACAACAAAAATATATGAGCGTTTGCCGTGTTCCAAATACTTGACCCATGGATGGCAGAATTAATGGGTCTTGGCAAAACTCAAAGTTCTTTAGTTCCAAAACAGGCGGCGAATGTTAGCAAACTACTCAGCGACTTCAATTTACGTAACAGTGCAAAAATACTGATCTTGCTTCTGGACTGCGGTACAGTTGGAAAGACATGATTCCTTACGAAGCACCAGTGATTGCTAGGGTTTTTAGCAAGTCAGTAAGAAAGTAAGCGCGAGTCGACATGGGGACGGTGGTCGGTCGGGCGATTTCTGAGGTTAGAGTGGGAATGAATGGAGACGAGTGCATCATCCTGCATGAGAAACAAGGTATGTGAGAATGAAAGCACAGAGATAGGCTGAAATGGACAAATCTCGGTGGTGCCGTGAAGGACTCCCCTTGTATATCATAAACGACGGATTAGTTATACCAGGTAGATTTGGGAGAATAACTAGCATTCTGCTTGGCTTCTAGAGTTCGACGGTTGGAGCATTCGCCTTAGGATGAAAGGATATGAAGTCAAGTGAAGGGGCAAAGACGGGATACGAGTAAATTTCCGCACACTGCTAGAGGGCAATAACCGAACTAGGATGGGAAAATGGAATAGAATGATGGACATCTCCATGGGAATTCGAGTTAATAGAATCTTTTGAAAACTCAATCAACATTTTTGCCATATCAGTCAGACGTTGGGACGAATAACTGGATAACCCCATGGATAAGAATTTAGTTGTAGTTACGGTGGTGTGGAGGTGATGTTACAATGGAATTGCGGTGGGGCTCACAGTGGAATCTTTGATATGTCAAAGCATGTGTTTCATTGGTTGTGCAGCTTTTGCTCTTGATTTTCCATTTACTTCGATTTAGTTTGTCCGTCTACCTTTCTCTCTCTGTCAAGTGTCAACCATGTTCCAACCACCCGTAATAAGGCAATTACAGTACGAGAAGCAACTAAGGTGCTTTCGTCCCCATGAAATTTCGTCCCTTGTACATATTCCTCATATGTTTTGAAACTTGGTCTAATCTCTTGTTTCTGAGCCTCTTTTTCTTGTTTTCTCTGGCGAGTCTTGTGATTCTTGTCCTCATTACCGCGTCTTGGAAACTGCGAGATCAATCCACATCAGATTAGTTTTCACACTGGAGCACCCCATTGTAAGGTTGGCATTATTATTTTACTCCAGTATTGTGAATACGTACATGCGGAGTTCTTCTTATCACGATGAGTATTACTGGAATAGGCATCCCGGTAGTGGATCAGAACGAGGGGGGAGGGAAAAGAGGACATTTTACATCTTGCATAACAATTATAGTAACAAATAGAGTCTTTCGGGGATCCCTCGCATTGAACCTTCACAGCCTCGGAATTTCAAACATTTGAGACTCATCACATAGATCTCTGATATCCAGTCCATATCTAGGAAATTCTTCACTCACTTCCCCTAATTGTAAACGGATCCAGCCTTACACTACCATATCTGGAGTACTTCCGCGTGTCCCCAGGTACTAGAGCATTGACACCAGGCTGGCTGGCGTGTACTCCGTACAGATAACACCCGCATTATGGGACTGCTCAGGGGCGTAATATTGATACTGATATCGCTATCTACAAACCCTCCTGGCATAGATAGGGCAAGTGAGACATTACTTTCGATTCTATTTAACCAAGGTTCAATATACTCGAATGGGCATATCTCTCCCTGATAATATAATCTTGACGATTGATAGAATTCCTTGTCGACTTGGATACGAGATTATTTATCTATTGAATTACTAAACTCAATTTCGCGGATCATTGAACGATTTTGGACCCTGAAGTTTGGCAGGTGTCTCAAACATTCTGTCAATGGTATCAATGTCCGCTCACGGTAACAGACTCTACCCAATAACATTGCCATGGGACGCCTACCTCATCTCGGAATATATCTCTATCAATAGGCTGCGATTCCATGTTCTCTGTTGGCCGGATGCGATATCAACTTTGCATGAGAGTATTGTGCGCGAAACGAATCTATTTATGATCTGGAGCTTCTCTCTTCTTCATACATACCAGGTGGTTTATTCAAAACTTTCACTGGCTCTTTATTTTTCACGATGTCAGGTACAGATTTTCCCAGGATCGACTTGAGATCACCATAGCCACGTGAAGTTCACGTGAATTTTAGTTCTGAGCTCTCGGAGCGTGAGTCTGGAAATAGTTGGTGTTCCTTAGCTCACGACAAGCGAATTCTGGATCTAATTAGGATTGCGACTTTGTTCTCTTCTTCTGCCACTTCGAAGCTACATTTTGGGTGATTGTCTATCCGAGATCTCTCTTATCATCCCACTCTCATCCCATAACGTACTGTACAGCAAACTTCATTCAGCAGCTCAAATTTAAAGTGGACAGCGGAGTGTTGAAATGAATCTCGGAGTAGTTTATTTTCGTTGCATATCCGAATGTCCGAAATCTGAGCCAAATTGCTTTCCGAGCATTCAATTAGATTGCTCGGATTCGTTAACGCCCATTCTTGTTGATAATCTAGGTATTGGCTGGTAAGTATATAGGTTCATCTCAACTGCCTCTTCAGCCTTACACTATCCATCGATGTGAATATCAAGTCATCAATATCTAAAATAGCTGGATAGTGTTTGAAGCTGCTCCTCAATGGGTGGTCGAACGATATAGCAGGTGTAAACACTTATCACCCAGACAGCATATTTTGTCAAAGAATCTGAAAGCGTCACACAACAAATCGTATTTTAATTACCATTCCATTATGATTATCCCCTCACTGGCGATCATATCACGACGGTACAGTTTGAATTATTTTAAAGTCTGCGTCTTAATTAAAGAAAGTCTGACAATCATTTGGGTGACGCTTAGGATTTTTAAAATACACATGTATATTTAATCATTAGAGGTAGAGGACCAACTATTATGGATAGAAGATAGTATTCGATATGTACAATTAGGAAATCAACAGCAACTAAGCCTAGTCATCAAAGTCAGACCGCCTGCGGTCGCTATCATGAATCATGATCACACTTCATGAATAACAAAAACGAACAACCCCGCCACTGGATTCATTTCAATTCATTCAGTTCCAGCCCCCAAACTTCCCCTCAATACGCCCCCTCATCCCCTTTAAAAACCTTACACGAATCTCTTTAAAAACTCCAGTCCTCTCTCTACCGCTCTTACCCCCTCATCGCCACCTCTATCCCTAGTCAAATCAAAAAGATGTCCCGATCCCTCCAAAACCTCAATGTCTGCCTCAACTCCCCTTTCTTTTAGCGCCTCATATGTTTTCTGGCTTTGCTGCCAAGGAATCAAATCATCTTCTGTACCATGGATCAGAAATGTGGGGGTCTTGTAGTGTGAAGAGACGATTTGTGAGTAAGGTGATATGCGGGCGATTTGGCTGGGTGATGGCATGGGGAGGCTTTCGTAGGAGGTGGTAGAGGGAGAGAAAGACGTGGTCGTTTGAGAGGTGGGAAGCGATGGGAGACCGTTGATCAAGATCGGTAATGCTTGCGCGCGCCAGTTCATATGTAAAATAAAGCGGGTGCGCGGATCTTGTAGAGAGAACAATTGAGTCGAAGCACCAGTGCTGGTTGTGGGCGTATAACTTGTTACCGGAGTGTTCTGTACGCCCTCGAGAAGATTATATGGCGTGGAAGGATCGGAGATGGACATTTTTGGGTTAATGGGAGTTTTCCACCCTAGTTAAAAGATCAGAACAGTTATACGTCTTGGAAAACCGAAGAGAAACTTACATTCATCGTCATAATCTGTAGGACAATAAAACGCTAAAATAGCTTCGGGTGGTTGAGTCCCTTGTTCGAGAGATGTAAAGGCGCTGGACATGGCGAGTGTACCACCGGTGGACCATCCAAGTACAACTACTCTACTACCGTCTACCCTTTGCTGAGGGCAATTCTTTAGAATGATGGATGGTAGAGTATTTCGAGCCCATACTAGCGCATCACAAACATCGGACATGGCTCCTTCGCGGAGAGGTACCTCGGGTATAAACCGATAGTCAATGCTGACTGGGATAAATCCGTTGTCTTGGAGCAGTCGAATGTGCTTTGGGTTTATATCTTTTCGGCTGTATAAGGTATGGCCTCCACCATGGATCATAAGCGCTGAACTTTGTCAGCATGTTATTCTAACCATCGTATTTATCGTCTTGTGTAGCACTCACCGACAGGTCTCTCGATTTCATTCTTCGCAGTACTAGAATCATAATAAACGTCCGCAAAAAGTCGGCATTCCCCAACCATCTTATACTCCAGCGTTTCATACTTGAAACTTTTCCTCGGCCTCTTGGGAACAACGTTCGTACTCTTAGGAGCCTCTAGAAATCCTGTAATAATCCTGACAGTCCGCGATTCAGCACTAGAATTATGTGTCCACGAAACATGTCCAAACCCAGCTGTTTTCATACTCGATTCCCAAAACCATTCATCGGCCAAAACGTGGGATCGTCCGTCTTCGTAAAACCACCAGCCATCTAATAGTCCAAATACCAAATCGAACCAAAATATGTTACGAGTGAATTCGACTAGGGAGCAAAAGCCGTTGGGCAGGAGCATATCGCGAATATGTGCCGTGGAATTGGAGATATCTTTGGTGGCATGAATACAATTTGTTGATAAAATTATGTGAAACTTTTTCTGCATATTTCCAGAGACTGGCTTTTCGATATCTAAAGTTGTAACAGTGACATTCGGATATTTAGCAAACCTTTTCTTGGCGGCATTAACGAACATGGGGGATATGTCGGAGAATGTGTATTCGAAGGGAATGTTATTGGAAGTGAGAAAATCTATCATGTGCT